TAGATAGATAGATAGATAGATAGATAGATAGATAGATAGATAGATAGATAGATACTAGATGATAGATAGATACTAGATAGATAGATTGATAGATATAGATAGTAAATAGATGATAGACAGATAGATACTAGACAGATAGAAATAGATAGATAGTAGATAGGTAGATGATAGATAGATACTAGATAGATAGATAGATAGATAGATAGATAGATAGATAGATAGATAGATAGATACTAGATAGATAGAAATAGATACTAGATAGATAGATGATAGAGAGACAGACAGACAGATATTGCATAGCTTTAAACTTGATTGAGAAGAGATGCTGTACAGATAGTCCTCGACTGAAAACCACAATGGGACCACAGCATATGTCATTAAGCAACATGGTTGTTAAGTTGAGTTGTGCCCAATTTTATGACCTTTTTTGCTATATTGTTAAGGAAATCATAAGGTTATTAAGCAAATCCATTGACTTTGTGTGTTGGAACCCCCACCCCCTTTGAGAATGTTGCAAATGGCACCCACATAACCCTGAGACACTGCAATTGCCATACATGCATACATTCCAGTTGCCAAGCTTTTTGGTCATGTGATTATGGGAACACCATTGTTAAACAAATGGCAATAAGTCAAGGACTACCTGCAATTCAGGCTTCCGACTATTCTGAAGTATCTTGATGCAACTGAACCTGAAGAAAATTTTCAGGCTGAGACTATACTATAAATTTCAAGAAATTTTTAATACAGTTCCAATTTGAAAGCATACAAATGCAAGTAAATGAATAGTACCACTTCAGTGGGAAGGAACCTTGGCATATAATCATTCTGGGTACATGACATGGAAGTGTTTTTGGACAAAGCTGGCTCCCTCAGCTAGGAAATAGAGATAAGTACTGCTCCTTAGAGTTAGACATGACTGGACAGTGGAAAGCTTCACCTTTTGTCTTTAATTTATTTCATCTAATAGGAATTCTAAAAGCATGACTGCAAACCCAGTAAGATCTTATACACCTTGCTCTTGTGCACTAATAATAATAGTACAGGTATGAGCACATAAACCCTTTGTTTCTCTGGTCTCTGTGTAGCCCACTAACCACAACACTGGTGGTCATAATTTCTATATTAATTTCTTTTTCAAAGTTATAATCTTCCAAGAATAATATTTTGAACTGTTTTCATCTTCGTTTGGTAAGATTGGAAATTAAGACTTGGGTACAGTACCTTGGCTTTGTCTCTCATCGAACCTTTACCAAGGATAGACATTTTTGCACCTGTTTCCTCTTGTAATCTTTTTAAGGAATTTCCTCTTGGACCAAGGAGTTTGCCCACAAAATTAAACTAGAAAATAAAGAGAAAAGAAGGGATAAATATTAGAATTTTTTTCCTTTTTGAAGTGCAGCAGTAGAGAAATCCTGACCAAGAAGAGAAGATCCAGAAATATCATTTCTCTGCAATCCCAAATCAACTGTATTTTATTTATTCACCTCATAGCTATCCTACTTCATTGTAATGATTCTTGACTGTCTACACAATATAAAAAATAATTAAAGCATTCACTGTAAATCACAAAATCTTGCACAATATAATGATACAATAAAACAAAATAAGAGGAAAATTTAAATGAAAGATGGCAGTCCATCAACTCAATAGAACGCTGTCTAAAATAGCTCATTTTTGAACATCCTCCTGAATAATACTGGGGAGGGGACTAATCTGATCTCTGCTTGAAGGCTGCTGCCTCCTCATTTCCCAGAACTATAGTTAATCCAAGGAGTTTCTTTCTAGATCATCCAGTCGGCCAATTCTATACGTATGCAAAGTGGCAAGGAGGAGCTTAATCTTTCCTTAATAATATCTGGACATGCAAAACTTTCCAAATTATTTTCAAAGCCATTCACAAGTAAATTAACAAGCATACCACTTATATTTATATTACCAACTAATAGATATATCTACAAATTGCTTAATATATAAAAACACATTTCTCTTATGTTTGTTACCCCAACATATTTAAGTTAGTTAATGAAACATGAATGCGGTGATCATATCCCACAATACGATATCAATAGCACATGTCTATCTGTCTATCTATTATCTATCTGTTTGTCTATCTGTCATCTATCTGTCAATTTATCATATCCAACAATATATCAATAGCACATGTCTGTCTGTCTATCTCTGTCTGTCTGTCTGTCTATCTATGTCATCTATCTATCTGTCAATCTATCATATCCAACAATATGATATCAATAGCCCATGTCTGTCTACCTACCTACCTACCTACCTACTGACCATTTACACAGGGGAGCTCAACTATCTACATTGCATACATCAGCTTTGGTCTTGAGCGTCTCTGCAGCAGAGTGCAGGTAGTCCTTGACTTACAACAGTTCATTTAGTGACCTTCAAAGTTTCATCAGCACTGAAAAAAAGTGACTCATGACTCTTTTTCACAGATACAACCTTGCAGTATCTCCACGATCATGTGATCAAAATTAAGATGCTTGGCAACTGGTTCATACTTATGACCGTCACGGTGTCCTGGGTTGTGTGATCCCCTTTTGTGACCTTCTGACCAGCAAAGTCAGTGGGGAAGCCAGATTCACTTAACAACTCGGTTATTAACTTATCAACTGCAGTGATTCAACTGAGGCAAGAAAGGTCAATACAATAGGGCAAAATTCATTTAGCAAATGTCTCCCTTAACAACAGAAATGTTGGGCTCCACTGTGGTCGTCAGTCAAGGACTGCCTGTATGCTGCTTTAGTGTAGGATCCACCTGCACATGTGAAACAAGTTGATATCACCATCAGTGAAGCAGTATGCTTAGTGAGAGATTGTCTCAAATCTACACCAATTGAGAAAATATATCCTGTCACTGGCATTGCCCCCACTAAGGTCAGGAGAGAAATAGTAGCAGATGCCAAGAGAATTTAAGCAAGGGAATGTTCCTCAACATCCTCTGAATGGACATAGGCCCCAAGCCTGCCGACTCAGATCTAGGAACAGCTTTAGGGCAAGAACAAACATTCTTGAGGGTACACCTGAACAAAATAGAATTAAAAGATGGAGGAAGGAAACCATTAAGCGGAGAATAACACTATAGGAGGATATGGCTGAAAGATCTGGCCTCCCTTATACTACTTGGAGGTGAATAAGTGGAGAGTTGGAATGCCTAAACAGAGGCTCTTAGCAGATAACAACACACTATGTAAATGTGGTGAGACACAGAGCCTGGCTCATCTACTGGTATGTCAGCTACTACCAGAAATATATGCCGATAATTATTTGTTCTTGGCCAACAACAAAGCCAAGAAGGCGGCTTCATTCTAGCAAATTAAAGTTTGATCCAGACACGGAAGAAGAAGAATCTATTATCTATCTATGAGATCAATTTATTTTCCCAAAAAATTAAATAGTGCATTGCAGTAATTATGCCAGTCTTTCATGAGTCATTCACTGGAAATAACCAGTGAAATAATCAAAATCCAGATTTCCTTTCAACAGCAGTTTTAAAGAAGTCAAAGAAAGAGGAACCATCAAATGTCATTTCTTTAAACTGATTTGCCATTTTCTATTTACTGAGACAGCTTGAGCTGAACCATCTCCATTTCTGTGCTGAAGTCACCATTCCCATCATTCCCAGCCGGTGAGGCCAATCAGAGAGGGACAGAATATCAAGATTAGCAAACCATCAAGACCTACCATGGCCCATTGCAGGCAACTCCTACCATGCCTTCCCTACAAAAGAGATGGCTATCCGGGCCACAGAAACCCAGCATTTCCTGAAGCAATTTGTGGAACAGTTGAACAATTATTACCATTAGCTAGTTTTGCTTGATATTCAACCAAAACCTACTTTGTTTTAATTTAAGCCCATTCTTTACGTTGTAATTTATAGCAACTTCAGGAGGGACATCAATTCCCCCCACTCCTAGCATAAATAAAACCGGAAATATCCATATGACAGGTCATGAATTACTGCTTCACAACAATCAGTTCTTTCTCTTCTGCTCACCTGCCAAAAGCTGCCAGGGAATTTTTTACTGACTGACTTTCAACTTGAAGGGCTCATACTGTGCTAGAGGAAATTCAAATTCTCCCCAAGATCTTCGGGCTACAGAAGGAATCAATAGCCCCCTCTTCTCTTCTCTCAGTTAGCTGAGAATTTCAGTCTCTCTGTTTTTGGTATGAATATCACCTAAATTCAAATATTTCCTCATAAACTACAGGTAGTCCTTGACTTACAGCAGTTCCAGAGGTGGGTATTCAGCAGGTTCTGACCAGTTCTGGAGAACCGCTAGCAGAAATTTTGAGTAGTTCAGAGAACCGGCAAATACCACCTCTGACTGGAAATTTTACAGTATCCTTTCCCTGCCACGCCCACAGAACTGGTAGTAAAAAAAAAATGAATCCCACCACTGAGCAGTTCATTTAGTGACCATTTAAAGTTACAACGGCAATGAAAAAAGTGTCTTATGACCATTTTTTCACACTGAGGGCCATTGCAGTATCCCCATGGTCATGTGGTCAAAATTTGGCTGCTTGGCAACTGGCATGTATTTATGACAGCTGGGGTGTCCCACAAGTCATGTGATTCCTTTTACGACCTCCTGACAAACAAAGTCAATGGTAGAAGCCAGATTCACTTAACAGCCATGTTGCTAACTTCACTACTACAGTGATTCACTCAACCAGTTTGGCAAGAAAGATTGTAATATGGGGCAAACATCATTTAGCAACTGTCTCACTTAGAAACAGTGGTTCAATTGTGGTTATAAGTCGAGGACTACTTTTAGTGTGAAATAACGTGTGTTTTTTAAAAGAATCAGTTGTAGGAGAACGTAAAAATATGTTCATCTTCATTTCAATGCTGTACAGCTAATTTTAAAAAAAATGGAAAAAAAATTCAGCAAAGTTTCATGAGCCATTTCCATTCATTCGCATATTTTGGCGATCTTTCTCCAATGTAAATTCTACTTCCATAGAAGCTTTCTTCAAAAGAATTGTTCTACCAAAATTTGGGGGGTGTTTATTATTTTTATAATGCAGGCATCAATCACACTGTAGTGATGTAATATTAAGAAAGAAAGAAACCAGCCCCATTTAATTTTAAGCCAATGTGGAAATTGTTATAATGCAAAGTCTATCAATGGTTTTATGAAACATTTTTAATTACCTGATCAGCTTGTATTATGTATTATATATAACCTGGATGACACTCAAACTGGAAGAAACTTAATTATTTCAAAAACTGTATATCAAAATCTAATTATAGGATGCACTATAACTCATTGGAATTTTGTTATCATTAATAGCAATTATAATTAAGGCAGTACTTACATAGTGATTTGCATGCTTGTAACGCAATGCAAACATTAATTTTCTTATTCAAGTCAGACCTATATTCAAAAGAAACTACTTATTTTAATTTTACTGATATGCTCTTGTTCATTAGCATATCTTTAAAGAGGCCATATTCACTTGCAAACAGCTCTGTTTCAACAGAGATAGCTTAAAAACTTACAATTTCCCCAAAACTGTGTGAGGAAATGGGTTGAAAGTGCTTGCGTTCCTTTGCAACATTACAATTATTAGAAGTGGGAATAAGTCTTGCGTCTCAGAAGGCTTACACATCAGCTATCTCAATTAATCAAGCATTCCTCAAAGAAACATGTTCCTCTTTGATATTCAGGAGTCACATGATCCACAGTAATTACTTTCTTCAAGGGCCATTGCCTGATCTGCAACTATAGATCCTGCAGAATACAGTGAGAAGTATAATAACAGAAATATAATAATAATAATAATAATAGTAAGCAAACAAAGATAATACTAATAGGCATCTTGAGTACAATGCCAAAATAACTGAAGCACTAGATGAACACCATCAATATTGACAAAATCACTATCAGTCAATCGCAAAAGGCAGTTTTACTTTACAGCTTACATCCTTTCACCATCAAACAACAACATCTGCCCATCCCACCTTCTTGGGAAGGATTCGATAGGTGGGTAAAAATGCCAAATCCAGTCTAAACATCTGGATGATTGTGTGACCAACCCTAATATCGTAATAATAAATGATAAGGATTGTGTTGGACCGATTATGTTTAGCTTTGAATTCAGTATGGATAGTTGAGTTTTGTTCTACAATGTTCTCAATTCCTGATGATGCACTGGAATATATTATTTTTATATGTTAGATCCACATCTTCAAACCTGCTGTTCAAAAGGATGATTTACCAGATGAGGTTTTTCTGCCTCTCTGGAAGAGAGAGAGAAATGGAGACCATGACACCGTAGAAATGATAGGATCAAAATACAACTTCCACATT